TGAAAAATCACCAGTGCCAACACAGTGCCGCTCGTCAAGTGCTGCCTCTAGTACACACCTGAGGCATCGTGCTGCAGCTCATTCACAGACATATGCAACGTTATTACTACATTTACTGAAAGATCTGTACTTCTTCCACCTCTGCAATAGCTTAAAACCAGGTGTGGACACCCTTAATAAAAGTCCAAGACTGAAGAGCCGATCTCCAGAGCTATGACTCACCAGCGAGTATCTTTTTGGCCATTGTCCTTATGGTGACAGGATTGTAGGTCATATAGCTCTGGATATTTCTTGACCTCAACAACGTGTCTGTCCTCATCCATTCTTTATCGCAGACAAGACACAGCAACAGCTTTAGAGTTCTCTTTATACATCAGTGGTGAGGAGAGGAGTCAAGCTGCCACAGGAGCAGAGAAACTGAGCTGCTATATGAGCTGGTATGTACAAGCAGAGAGTGAGTGGGGAAAAAATGCAGTTAATTCAGGGGGCGGCGAGGCTGGAAATAGGACAGTAGTGTGAAGTACATTTGTAAGGAACATGCATTTGTGGGATGAGCAGCAGAGCCGAGTATATGGGTTGCGCCCATGAAAAATTTGCCAAACAGCTTTTTTATTGCTGTTGCTATCGACTCTTGTTTTGAGCTCCTGGTACCCCCCAGGTGCTGACAATCAGGTGCCTGATCTTTTTGTGCTTAGTTTATTATTCATGCTGGGAAATGGCAACTTGACTTGTTATAACTCAGTAAGTAAAGGTTCAGGGTCTAAGATTTAGGGAGATTTAGTGGCATGCGGTGGTGAGAACTGCAGATTGTGACCAGCTGAAACTTCTCCTGGTTAGAATTCCTTCATTGTTCAGTTCTATACAGGGAGCTGTATTACCCACAGACGAAAGAAACAGACCAGGTGATTTAGAGGTGTTTAACATTACGAATCAGTGTTTCACTGGTGCTGTTTGACAAGTTGAACACAGGCAGCTTGGCCACAAGGTGCTACTGTGTGCTCACTTATTTTCTCTGATAATTTAATGAATGCTCACTTTTTCTGATCTGGGAGGTAAATTACCCGCAGAAGTCTCTTCCTCGACAAAACAAATGGACCCGGTCAGGCCCCCACATCAGGGGGTTCAAAGGGTACGGATGGTCCTGGCCCAAGGCCGAAGGGGGCCCATGTAAAGGTCTATGGTTGACCGTTTAATGGGATCAAGTGCAAGAAAATACTTACTGACTTATATCACTGACAGTACAAGTTAGATGTATTTACATGATAAATAAATGTATAGTCATCATAACAACACATTTCAACATCAGTGTGATGCTCCCACCCTGCAGCAGGTATTGTGAAATAGTGCAGACTGTCTGACAGAGAGGGTCAGATAATTCTTAAAGGAAAAGGAACAGAGAGAACAAGGACATTAAAGGAAAGGAGAGGCAATGGCCAAATGTCTGGCAAAAAATGTCAAGAAGCAACAGGTTATTATTAAAATCTATGGGTATGACAGGTGGAGCTGATGGTAAGAAGTGAGGCAGACTAATGTTAGCAAATAAAACTTGCTGTAGCAGGCTTAGTTTTATTTGCAGCTGTTTGCAGCTGTGTGTTGTCACACTTTAAATGTTTACCTTAATTTGCCTGTGTTGTGTCTTTATGCATGTGTTTTTCTTTTTTTTTTAATTTGCAGTGCAGTGTGTGACTAATTAACATCAGAAGATACATTTATCATTGTAACTGAATCAAATTGAAAAACTGGGGCTGACAAACTAAACTGCTCAGAAGTTGGAAGCTACAGTTCATATCAGTAGTGTTTGTTTTTCCATTAATATCACATTAATAAAACATCAGCAGAGTACTGTAAAACACATGCTGGTACACTGACTGGATTTAAAGAGCTTCCTCATATTTTTCTGTTGTTCAGTATAATATAGAAGAAAAGAGGACCTTCGAGGATGACTATGCAACATGCAAAACCTTCTTAAGTGACACAGTGCACTTTTATAAGATCATAAGAGAATTATGACTCTTATGCAACACTGCTACTTCTCTTTAAACACTCTGCTCATAAAGAATGAGGGTAGATTCAGTAGATAACCATTATAAGAACAGGACGCATGACTTTGTTTTATACCTAATGTCATAATATCTATAAATGCTTTATAGAAACCTGACGTTCTTTTCAGACAGACATTGCTCCTGAAAATGTGAAGGAGATAAAGAGATATATCCATTATGATTTATTTGTATTTAGGTGTGTTCATTAATTACACTGGATCTTGAGGAGCTGATGTAATTACACCAGTCTGCCAAAAAAATTAGAACGACTGTCTGGTGAAGTGAGTAACATTGATTATCTTGTTACTGTACAATGCAATGTTCCCCTGGGGAGCTTTTGGTCCAGAAATTCATGAGGTGCAGTTTTGCTCCTGATGGCAGCAGCACTCCCCAATGGCAGTGCCCCCCCAGCAGGAAAATGCACCAAGCTACACTGCAGAAACTCCTCAGGAATGGCCCAAGGAATGTGACAAAAAGCTAAAGGCATTGACCTGGCCTCCAAATTCCCCAGATCCAAATTTGATAGAGCATCCATGGGACGTGCTGGTACCCCAGAGGTACCCCTAATCCGTGGTGGGGCCTCCCTGGATCCAACTTGTCTCTGATATGTCAAGGCATGGACACATGACCTCTGGAAGGTGTCCTGTGGTGTCTGGCTTCTGATCATTTGAGACCTGTCAGTTGTGAGGTGGGGCACCAGCACTTCCCAAAGATGCTCAATCAGATTGTGGTGTGGGAGATTTGAGGCCACCTTGAGCTTTTTGTCACGTTCCTCAGGCCATTCCTGAGCACGTTTTGTGGTGTGGCATGGCACATTTTTCTGCTGGGGGGCCACTGCCATCAGGGAATACCATTGCCTTGAGGGGGGTTACTTAGCCCACAGCAGTGTTTGAGTGGGTGGAGGGTGTCAAGTGGCATCCACATGAATGCCATGACCAGTGGTCTCCCAGCAGAACATTGCATTGTAACAAAATGATCAATGTTACTCACTTCACCAACCACTGGTTTTAATGTTTTGGCTGACTGGTGTATATAGAGTCTATTGCAGCTACCAGACAGGTTTGGACTTACTGCCCTTTAACCTCAGTGTTTGTCATTAAGCCTTATGGTGTGTTTGGATGTCAGATGTGTCTTTTTATTCTGCAATAATGACTTGGCATTAACAGAGACCTTTGTTTCACACAAAGCTGACACAGTAAAAATGAGGTGTTGAAGATAAAATGACAACAGTGATGAAGAAATACCTCAACTTCTCCACTGAAAGTTTTTTCAGAGGCTTCTACTTCTTCAAATGTCCTCAAGCAGCAAGAAGACCACAGCT